AAAAAAAAAAAAAAAAAAGAAAGCTACAGCTCAATTTGGCCAGTCAAATTTTGAATGGAAACATGTGCCTAGCTTGTGTTTAATGATATAAAATATAAGTACTAAGATTTTATCTTTTCCAAATCACCTTATCCAAGCCCATTTGGTGGTGTTTCTAAAAAAGTCCAAAGATAATTGCCTTCTGTGATACTAAGAGTGGTGGCATGGGCCAGTCGTATGGTATTGCAGTCAAAGACATGGTGAGAAGTCAGGAGTCCTGACTGCTAATCCCAGCCGAGATTCTACTTGGACCACCATATCTAAACAGCTGGAGGCAGGGAAGAAGAGGTATGGAACAGACCCCAACTCAGTGTTACAGGCCAGGCCAGACTGCCAGGCTTACCTGACACAGCAAGTCCTCTTTGGAAACTTTCATACAACGTCTTGGCATCTGAGAAGTAGTAACATAGGAAGCCATCCGTCTGGGAAACACTTTTCCGTGCTCTTCCCTAAGAGACAAGACAAAGTTTAGGCCAAGTCCAAGTCTCCCCCCACCCTTTCCAAAACCTTTATGGATTGAATTGAAGAGAACAGACATGCTGATTTTGAGGTCACAGGGATGTTTTCTTTACTATTTAATCGACTTTTTAAAATCACAAGATTGCAGTACGTTCACATCATAAAAATTTTGGAAAATATAAAAAGTATAAAAAAAGACTTAAGAAAATTTGATCTGTAATCCCACCAAATCAGAGATTGTCACAGTTATGTTTTTGGTAACCTCTGTGGCATATATATATATATATACACATATATATGTATATACACACACATGTGTATGTGAGGAGAGATTATATCTACAGTTTTACATCTTAAAAAATCACATCAACTTTAAACTTCTACTGAGTATATAGTATGTGTTTGAGGTACTGTGCAAATACTGTAGATGTGAGTTAAGACAAAATAACTGCTCTTGAGCACCTCATAAATGAGGGAAAAACACACAAATACAAGGGTACTTCAAAAAGTTCATGGAAAGATTTGTATTATCTTTTAATTCTATTTTCCCACAAACTTTTCAAAGTACCCTTGCATCATACTGTGATGTACATACTGTAATAAAAAGAAATACATGATTTGGGAAACAAATGAAGAAAGGTTACAAAGAACAAACGATATTTCAATGGAGACTTCAAAAATAAACATTTACCGAAAAGATGTGGTTTGGGTAGGGTAGAGGAGAGAAAAGGAAGAGCAATCCAGACTAAAGGAAGAGACTGAATAAGGGCATGGAGGTAAGAAAGCACCTTGCAGAGTCTGCTCGGCAGCTAGAGAGCAGGACAGTTGAGCAAGAGGGAGTAGCTAGGATCTGTCCAAACGTCAGCCGGAACTGCAAGAGCAGCCCTGAGATGGGTCCTGGAGGTACAACAGGAGCTATAGACATAGTCCAACACCCATGAAAGTTAATCTAGAGAGAACTAGACATCAATTAAACAAACATTCAAAAATGTAAATTACTAGCCAAGACAAAGGCTATAAAAAAAGTACAGGGTAACACAGGCTATAACAAGGAATCTGACTTAGTCTAGAACGTCAGGGAAGATTTCTGTGAGATGTCATATCAAGGTAAGATATCGAAAATAAAGTTCCTTGTCCAATGAGAGAATTCAGAGATCATTCAGATTCTTAACTGCAGGCATCTGGATAAGAAGAGATACGTTTAACTGAGATAGAACAGAAAAGGATGCGNTTCAACCCCCAAAATATGTATAATCGATTTTGATTCAATAAATAAGATAAATTTAAAAAAAAAAAAAAGTCTGGGAACATATATTCACTAAAGTATATAGTTAGCTCTTAAAGCTAAGCCACGGAAGTTCATCTAAGTCAGAATGAGGCCGAATTATCAATAGAAAAGTAGAAGGAAAGGAAATTTTATAGAGAGGATCTAGCCAAATTGTTGAGAGGAATTCAGGTCTTGTCAAAAGGAAGCATTCAGAGAGAGGGTTACAAGGAATTCAGGGGCAAATAAGTGAACTTCTAGACTAGATGACAGAGGAAGAAGGAAGGAAAGCAGGAACGAAACAGCCACTCTGATAAAGGGATATAAAAAATGAATGAGGAGATTGTCCAAAGGAAACATTAGTACTTTTTCTTCCTTTTGAAACAGCTGCATGAAATCTGAAGAAGTAAGGTCTCAGACTACAGATAACTTTCCCTGGAGTGTGGGGAGTCCTGCGTTTTCAGTATGTCACAGCCAATGAATGAGATAGTTTGTACTAACGTTAACCACCAATGATAGCTACCATTTATTGAATGCTTACTCCGAGTCGGGCACATTAACTCCCTTAGCCTTCCCAACTGTGACCGTCCCCATTGTACTAAGAATTGTGAAGGACTCAGACAACGTCTACAAGCTCATCCAGTAAGTGGTAGAGCTGATGAATGCAAAAGCAACTACACCACATTTTCTTATCACCTCCTGATTGATGAAAACGCTAGCAGAAGCCTGTGCCCAAGGAACAAGTCAAATAATTGGCCCAAAAGAGCCAAGACTCAGATCTCATTAAACTCTGTGCCATAAATAGCTTCAGCTTATTAGCCAAACTGCTGACCAGGTGACAGCCTAGGCTTTGATTAATTTATTGAACTCAGACCTTGTTTTTCTAAGATGTGGTCGTCTACAAAGAACCCCACCCCCACCCCAATAACACCTACTTGGTGAAGTTGCCACTTTGTAAAAATTACAAAGCTTTCTGGGGATTTTTAGGTCTCACCATACGGAATTCTGATTGTGAAACTAAGGTGGAGCCAGAGGGTATATATTTTAAACAATCTCCCCAGGTGATTCTCAGCATAGACAAACTACTGGCTAGAAGTTAAAAGGATATATAGGGCTGATGTAGTCAACCGCAGATAGGACCAGAAGTGTCATTTTTCTATGGAAGTAAAAAGCCAGATTTCTCATGCCTGCTTACATGAGAAGCCACTTAAATCTTATTGCTTTAGTTTTAATTTAGTATTGAAAAACAATCCTAAGTGAGGTTATCTTATGTGCCACATATAATATGCTAAATAATTTACGCACGCCTGCATGCGCGTGTGTGTGTGCGTGTGTGTGCGCGTGTGTGTGAAGGGAGAGGATGTGCAGAGGAGGGACTTGAAGAGAGCTCGAATTCCTTGAACATCACCGAGATCAGAACTAGAAAGTCAGATCTGGGTGTCACAGTCTTTAGGTATATTTTTCACGTCATAGGAGAGAGAGTGTTTTCTCAGCTGTGAGGATTACGAGCAGGGTTTGTCAGAGTTTAATCTGGGGAAAGAATCTGGCCTGCCACCTGCTTTCAAAAATAAAGTTTTATTGGAACACAGTGATGCTCATTCATTTACACATTATCTGGTTCTTTCACTATGCAACAGCACCTTTGAGTAGTTGCAACATAGCCCACATAGTTTGCAAAACCTAAACTATTTACTGCCTGGTCTTTACAGAATATACTTGCTAATCCCTGCTTTATAGGAATCATGTGATGCTGAGAATGAAATCCCAGGATGAGGAGAGGAAAGAACCCAAAAGACATAGGAAGACTGCCTCAAAATTAGGAAGAAATCTCATTAAAGGAGGAGTTTCAAGAAAGAAATCTCCAGTCAATTGAGAGGAAGGCTGAAGGTCATGGAATTTAGAAGTTAGGTTGAGAGTGACCCAGAGCACTTTGGAGGAGACGGCAGTGCTGAAAAGTTCAGATCTCAGTGGGTTGAAGTTCAGCAGAGGGAATCAACAGACTACTCTTAAAAATCTTTGCTGACAAAGGGAAGGATTGAGAGGAGATAGTGGCCTGAAGCAGCAGGATGGGAAGATGCCACTTAAGAAACTGAATAATCGAATATACGAACATACCAAAAAAGGGGGTGGGGTGGGGAGTGGCAAAGCAGCAGTAAGATTCCCAAGTAGATAAATAAAAGATTGTAAAGAAAACAGAAGGGGTTAGCCTTGTGAGGGAACAGGAATGCTTTTTTCTCTTAGGAGGGTTGATGATGAAAACTAATATTCATGGAGGCAGAGGGAAGGAAAGGTGAGGAGGACTTTCTTGGAGCTTTCGGTTTGCTTACAGATGCAGGAGGCTGGGTGAGAAAGTCAGGGCAACAAGTCCAGTTCAACTTCTACTAGTTTTAAGAATGAATATTAACTCAAAGCTAGATTTTAACTCAAGGAAGTGATTTTTTTTTTTTTTACCATTCTCACACATTGGGTACCTGTAAACCCTTGACCTAGGTGTTAGAACACTGCGCTCTAACCAACTGAGCTCACCGGTCAGCCACGTTGGGCATCTCAATGGAAATGTTCTCCTGCTCCCCAAGTACTCACTCAATCATCTAGATCACGGGTCTGCAAACTTTTTCTCTAAAGGGCTAGACAGTAAGTAATTTAGACTTTGTGAAATATATATGAGCTGTCCATTTAAAAAAAATTTATCCCTTTAAAAATGTAAAATCTATTCTTAGCTTGCCAGTCGCACTGGCATCGTATGATCTAGCTGTGGTTTCATTTTTACTACAAAGGAGAATGTGCCAGTAATAGAAATTTAAATTTGTAGATTGTCTGTTTATTCATTACCTAAAAGGTTTACTTTTTCTTACTACACCCAACCCCCTTCATGAGTTATCCCCAGGTTTTGAATTACAGTTTGTGTTCCGTCAAGGTTGATAAATTAAAAAGACATGTGGTAAGTTACCTCAGTTTCCACAGACTGATGGTTCAGGTCAGTGAGAGGTAAACTTGGAGGAGGTCTGTTGATCAGCCAGAGGAAGATGGCAGCTCCAAATGTCAGAATGCAGATCAGTGCCGGGGTTGGAAGTGGGGAAAACAAAAAATTAAAAATAAAAAGCATCTTTGTGAATAGCAGCAGGAAAGTCAGACCTTAAAAAAAAAAAAAAAAGGGAAGGGGAGGAAGAGAAATTTAGAGGAAATGGCCTCCAAATAGAGTTGGAACTCTCTGATAGTAGGATTTCTCTCTCTGTTTATCTTGGCAATGTTAAAAATAATAGAATGCGTTCTCCACCCCTGCTACTTGACTGTCCTCACACAGAGCGGAAAGGATCAAAGGAAACGAGTTAATCATTTCCCAGATAATTTTGAGAAGTGACCGCCCATTTATTTTTGGCCTGCAAAACCTAGAAGGTGGCCTGCTGGACCCAGCACAAGCTGGTAGTGGAGGAGGGTGCACCGGAGAGCTTCCGCTGCCCAGGCAGACCGACGGGCAGGAAGGACTCTTCTGGCTGGATTTCCCCCAATTAAGCCAAACGAAAGAGAAGACCTCTGTAGAGGTAATGCCACATGTAGAAATCATTCATTTGGCACGAAGGACATTTCCTTCTGGCCAGATATGCCTTGCTCATTGCTTTCTTTTTTTGGAGTATTAGGAGAGTTTGAGAGATCAACAGCATTCCAACGTGCCGTGTCCATTGTCCTCTCTAGGGAGCCCAGAGGAATCATTTTTCCAGGAGGCAAACTTTAGCCGGGTACACAGAAAGGGTGCTGGAGAATGAGCCTGACACATGGTGAGCATTGAAGATTTAGGCCAGGAAGAGATCTCAAGGAACTAAAAGCAGCAAAGGCTTTCTCCCACCCAGCTTTTCTCATAGTTTCTAGCCTAGTTCAGCTTCAAACTTTGGGGCAGGTCCTAGCAATATACCCTTCCCAAGCCATCTTTTTCAATGGTCTCCTCACACCTTTCGGACTTGATTAGGATAATAATCACAGCAGTCACATGTGCACGAACTATATGCCAGGCCCTGAGCTGGAGTGTTTGTATGGTTCATTTAATTTAATTCAAAGCAATGCTGTAAAGCAGTATTTCACAGAAGAGAGAAGGGAAACTCCTGGGGTAAAGTGACTTGTCCAAGGTCACACACCTTTTTTCATTGCTGCTTCTCTATTAAAATCTACAAAACCACAACTCGTTTTTTTTTTTTTTTCCTTTTTTTTTTTTTTCCTTTTTTTTTTTTTTCCTTTTTTTTTTTTTTCCTTTTTTTTTTTTTTCCTTTCTTTTTCTTATAGATTCTTGTCACAGAGTTCAAAAAGACTGATTTTGTCTGGCACCTGACAGGTTCAGAACTTGCATTCTTCAAAGTTTACCACCACGCCTGAGGGAACAGTATCTCAGAGATGAGGCTAAATGTTCCCACTCAAAATCAAAAGAACAAAGCAAGCCCAATAAAAAGTTTTATCAGATCAAGAGCATAGCTGCTCTTAGAGCTTTAGGGCAGCTGCCATTAGCGGGTTTCTGGAATCTTCTCACTTAAGGCTAATACTACTTTCATCTTAGAAAGGATATAGGACATAAGAATTTTGTGTGGGGGCTGGAACAGTCAGAATAAAACCCTGAGTCATTCTTATCATTTTTTCTGCCCCTCGATAGGTTATTACCTGACTTTGTAGTCCATTTTATGCAAGAAAACTGAACTTCCAGAGACTAGGATGATAGCCCCCAGCTCCTTGTTTCCTTTCACATTACATTTAGAGGGAGAAAGAGAAAACAAAAACAAACGTAGGTGCCACACGTGCTAGGTTACGTAACAACAAAGGTGCCATTGTGACCACCTGGCAGGATTCTGAGAGCTGGGATTTTTGGAATCCAGCCTTACCTGAACTTGTATGGTGAGGCGGCACTCTAGGAGGCAAGAAAGCATTTGAGAGCCAGATCTCAAGGAGGATGCCTTTCTCCAACCCAGGCAGAGAAGGGAGACCGCCCCAGGGAAAATTGTGAAATTAACAGAGCAGGTTGCAGTGCCAATGGGGAGGAGAGACCTGCCCGCCACCAACCCCTGGCCTCAGGCTGCAACACTGCCACAGGTCTGGTAGTATCTTATATGGGCTTCTTCCCTCTGCGCTGATCTCACCTGCAAATTAAGAGGGCCTTATCTGCACCCTCCTTCTTGACTATGGGAACAAATTATTGCACGGAAGACTTTTACCCTCTTCTTTCAGAGGGTAGATTTATATTCTAATAGACTTTGCAAACAATGTCTTCACAGTAGGGTCTAAAGGTGAAATTTCTGTTTGGTTGTGGTGGCATGGTGGTGGGGGGAGAGGAGAGAAGACAAATAGCTGGGAGGTAACGCATAGGAGAGAAGGGATGGGGAATCGATGACCAGTCTCAAGGGGGCACCTGCTACCAATCCCAGTTGATTGTTACCACATAGTAATGTGGGGCTGAGGTCACCAGATTGCCAGATTTTTTTCCCCCTAGATAGATGAGATTTTTGTGGAACTTCAATTTTCAGTAATGGCAGGTTTCAAAGGTCTGGAATGGGATAAACAAGAACACCTCCTAATTTAATTCGGACCATAGTCTGTTAATTCTTGATTTTTCTTTTTAGACACACTTCAGTCATATTCCCCACAAACGGGATGAGACTGACCACTTCATTACAGATGAAGGAGATAGTTACAAATGTCCAGGCCACAGTTTCATGAGAATGAAAATCCCTCACCCACACTGGTGAGGGATTTTATTTGCAGAAGACACTGAAGGATGTATTTATTTGTCCACTGAAATAGCCTGTTAGCTTAGTTTGCTATCACTGATCAGGTATCCAACTCAAGCAGGAGATGCACAGAGTTTCAGATGGTTCCTCCCTGCTACCTCCACATTTGTAAAAAATTGAGATAAAATTCACATAACATAGAATTAACTATTTTAAAATGTACAATTTTGCAGCATTTAGTACATTTACAATGTTGTGCAACCATCACTTCTAGTTAGTTCTAAACATTTTCATCACCCCTCCAAAAGAAAAACCTGTACCCACTAAACAGTCATTTCCCATTCCCTCCTCGCCCAGAGCCCTAGAGAAAGTGCCTAATCTGCTTTCTGATTCTATGGATTACCCATTCTAAATATTTCATATAAATGGAATTACAAAATATGTGACTTTTTGTGTCTGACTTCTTTAACGCAGCATGTTTGTAAGGTACAGTCATGTTACAGTATGTATCAGTACTTCATTCCTCTTCATAGCTGAGTACTATTCCATTGTATGGATATACCACATTTTGTCTATCCACTCAGGTGATAAATATTAGGGTTTATTGTGTATGCTACCATTATGAACATTTTTTTTTTTTTGTCCTTTTTGAGACCGGCCGCACCGTGCTCAGCCAGTGAGCACTGTGAGCGCACCGGTCATCCCTATATAGGATCCGAACCCGCGGCGGGAGCGCTGCTGCGCTCCCAGCACCGCACTCTCCCAAGTGCGCCACGGGCTCGGCCCTGTATACAAGTTTTGGTTTGAATACCTTTTTTCAATTCTTTAGGTTGTATACCTAGGAGAGGAATTGCTGGGTCACATGGTAACTTTATATTTAACTTCTTGAGCAACTACCAAACTGTTTTCCCCTGTGGCTCCACTATTTTACATTCCAGCCACCAAAGTAAGAGGGTTCCGTTTTCTCCACATCCTCACCAAGACTGCTATTTTTTTTTAATAGCTATCCTAATGGGTATGAAATGGTATCTCATTGTGGTTTCATTTTCATTTCCCTAATGACTAATGATATTGGGCATCTTTTTATGTACGTACTGGCCATCTGTATTTCTTTTTTGAGGAAATGTCTACTCAAGTCCTTTGCCCACTTTTTAATTGAGTCGCTTGTCCTTTTGTTGTTGAGTTGTAAGAGTTCTTTACATTTTTTGGATACTAGACCCTTATCACTATATGATTTACAGTATTTTCTCCCATTCTGTAAATTGTCTTTTCACTGTCTTGACAGTCTCCTTTTTAATGCACAAAAATACACACACCCATTTTTAACCTTATCAAGTCAGCACAAGAGAAGATTTGCAACCATATAAGGTAACTCTTTCACTGTTTAAATGGGAAAAACTAAGGGCCTGAGAGAAGGCAAGACCCTCGGGTCACACCATTACTGGACTGGGAAGCTCTGGTTACCATTCTAACCTGTACAATGTGTTATCACCTCCAGTTATGCTCAAATAAATGAGAATTAAAGCCATCACCATTCTTATCATGTGTTCTGTGTAACTCAAATTACAATTCTGATTCAGCTGCTCCACAGAACCCCTGTGATGGCATGTCATCTCCCCTTTAACGTCACTCCTTGTTGGGAAAAAATGGGGAAGAGAGAAGTGCAAAAATTGTAAAGAACAGGAAGGAGAGCTCTGTCATGCTGTGTCTGAGAGTTCCAGTTTCAGGTCATCCACAGATGGCTGAGCAAGCCACCATACACACTGGGATGGCCCCAAGTGGAAAGCTTCCTCTGCTTTTTGATGTGGTGGTAGCAACATGCCCCAGACCCAGGATGCCCATTTGTCTTCTACCCTTCCCCTTGATTCACTCCAGGGCCACCACGCTCCTCTGTGGTATGGATGGTCATAGCCAAAGTCACTCATCTCCTGGTTCTAACATCTTTGATTTTCAAGCTAGTCAAAGGACATCTTCTGCCTTCATACCTTATGCAAGCTTCCTGGACTGGTCCCAGTGTCTAGGTTATAACCAAGCCACAGTCAGCTTTGGATTTTGCTTCTTTGTGGATTTGGAACAGCAGCATTTCTTCATTAAGTCTCATTTTCTTTGGATAAAGTCTCTAAAGGGCCCCTTCTTCTCTAATATTCAAGTTTTTGGTCAACCGTGTTTATTGCTATGAATCTTTCAGGTTTGGTTACTCCCAGATCAATACTTGGGTAAGGTATTGAATTATGGTGTTGAATGATGATGAGCGTGTATTTCTAACAACACATCAAGGACCACTCAGGATCAGTCTACCCCTCTAGGCTTGAAAGAATGAGAAAGAAGTCATCTACATTGGTTAAGTAGGCAGAAAGTCCAGCCAAGAAGCAAATCATTCTGTGACCCTGGGTCTATGAAATTCTAACAATAAGGCAAATTATCTTTGCT